GGGGGGGGTGGGGAAATAACTTCCAAAAAACGTTTCTAGATAACAAAATGACCTTTACTTTCCTGCGCTTGGTACCCTCGGACACGTCATTTCTGGACGTGAAAACGAGCGATTTAATTTCCTTTGGTCCACATTCATTTGTTAAAAGGTTCTACTTCAAATACCTGCACCCCTTACAAAGAGTGAATGCGGAAGAGGTTTTTACTTTTCGACTTTTCACGCCCATCTCTTAACTGACGTTCATAATTCTGGCAAAAACAATTTCATGACAAAGAAAACAACAGCAATACCCCCAAAGGGCTTAAACTAAGTAAACAGAGGTACTAAAAAAGAACCTGTCCAGGTCGAAATTCTGCACGATTGCACAGGACACATATACGCGTAAGTGATGCAAGTGAGCCACCCTGAGCCATAACTTGCCGTGCTCCGGACTGATTCTCCGTTGTATCGCACTCTTCAATTTCCATATCGTACCTAAATTCAAATTCCGCCATCAGCTTGCTTCTAGGCAATTTTCAGAAGAAGGAACCATCGGCAGCCTTGCAACTGCTATTGGCATTTGTTACTGTTCGAATACTTTTAGCTCTCCTAGAGAGAAAATACCAAGAGGAAAGACGGTGTTAACCTTCCTCCGTCTGTTGATAAACCAAAAATCAAAAGTCTGAACTACCTGTGCAACTTAGTGGACCGGAACGTCTTAATCTCAGCTAAATCTATTAATGCCTCATGTATGTTTATCTTTCAGTTTTAAGTATTTCCGTATAAACTCTACAACTATTAACTGATAATCACTGCATGAAAAACACTTATAATTCGGTGTTAACTTAATAACCAAATGAATAACAAATATTCACCACATGTGTGATACAGTCATTCGATTTTGCGTAAGTGTTCCGGTTTTATCCGAGCAGATAGTTGACGTTGAGCCAAGTGTTTCTACAGCTTCAAGATTTTTGACCAAACAATTCTTGGAGGCCATTCGCTTCGCCGTTAATGTCAAGCAAACTGTCACTGTTGCTATTAGTCCTTCCGGTACATTGGCCACAATTATACCTATAAGGGAACAGTGCTGAAGAGAACTGCTAATATGACTGCTTTTTTGCACCTACTGTAACTGTAGCCGTTCCAGGATTTTCCTACATCTCTATGCGCTGTCCTTAATAATCCAGACACAGCTAAAGAAATACAGCTCCGTGATAATCATTGTGAATGATAACCACTAAAAGAGTGCTTGCTAAATGAAATGAGGGACAAGTGAATGAAAGGAATGTGGCAGATCAGGAGGCGGATACAGAGTGCGAAAAAAATGTGTGCTAGGATGATCGAAGCGTGTAAGACTCGCAGAAGCGAATGCAGCTTGTCCCCTTATAATTACTAAGATTCCTCAAACGACGAACATTTTAATTTCAGTCAAATGCTCTCCTTATAATTGCTAAGATTCCTCGAATCATAGATATTTCAATCTCAGCCAAACTATTGAGTTTCTACGCACAATTTTTCGAAAGATACCTGCCGGTTCGCTAATAGTTACGAAATGAATAACGCTCATAATTCTGCCTAAACCTAGTAACTAACATCCTAGAAATACCGAAACCACCTCAAAAACCAGTGTGAGAATCC